CCAGGACATGAACCTAGGTCTACCTGACTCCCCCAAAATCTAAATCTCCTGCCTCACTTACCAGCTGTGTGACCCTCCACAAATTACCCCCCTAAGTCTTCATTTCTCACTGATTAAGAATTTGTTTTCCTATCAGATGCCTTGATTAGCAGTTTAACTCAATCCATTTTGGCCTGTGTCTGGGCTTTCTAATAGGAGAAAACACAGATGCCTAAGCTGAAAAGAGACATAAAACAGCACCCTGATGCACTCAACCATTTGATTTCACCTCTGATCCAGTTTGGATCAGTGGCAGAGGCTGTCTGATGCCCTCTACCAGAAAGGTTTATAAGATCACAACTGGTCTGAGCAGGCCTCAGTGTCATGATCTATTAGTAATGTCTGGCCTGGATAAAAGTAGAAAGCAAAAGTCTGTGTGATGCAAATGTCACTTCAGTTGGTCCCAAATGGAAAACCCAAGTATCCTTGCAGAATTAAAACCTACCCACTTATTTTCTTTGCTTAAGGTAGAGAGCAAGTTAATGTAGTTGAAGCCAGTCACCCACGTTGGTAATATGAACATGAGTTAAGGAATCATCCTCTTCATTCTCTGGACATAATTTAGTTCTCAACCTCTGTCCATCAACTCAAATGTCTTTGGAAACATAGTAAAGGAATGAAAAATTGTTTTCAACTACTTTTGAATTGAACATAGAGGATAAACCAGACATTTTCTTGGTCAGAAAGGAATCTGATTATCTCTAGGATCACCTAATGGATGGCAGCCCAGGAAAGGCAAGGAAGAGCTTTTTTCAAACTGCTGATAGAGGGGCCCATGTTCATCTCATCAAGGTCCAAGAGCCTCTTGTTTACCTCACAGCACATTGAGGAGACCATAAAACAACCACCAACCAGAAAAGGCATCAAGGAAGCAGGCTCCTTCCTGATGTGGGACAAGAGGGATTTATACAGGAACTTGCTAAAAGTAACTCCCAGTGGTAACAGGCTGCATTACATCGGTCACCTCAGTTATCACGAATGATGCGGCCTGGGACACTGGTAAGTAAAGAAAAGGAAAAGCAACAATCATTTCCATTTAGCACTGGGGTTCAGTGCAAAGGCTTGAGAGTTTCAGACAGACCTGGGCCCCAGTCCAGTTTGGGCCACTTCCTGCTGCATGACCTTGGGCAAGTCTTTTCCCCTCTGAGAGCCTCAGATCCCTTACCTCAAACATGAGCAGAGTGGCACACTTTCCCCCCAGCATATATTGTGATCCCTACATGAAATAAAGAACACATGACACCAAGCAGAGCACATGCCACACAGTAAGCCCTCTATCCATGTGAGTTTGTTTACTGTTTTTGAGATGACAACGAGAGCATATTTTTATTTCCTACTGAGTGTTATGCAGATAACTATTAAAGTGAGTTAGGATTTGCATATTAAACTGGAGAGGTGTAGTGGGGAAAGCTGCTAGATAAGAAATCTAATTCCTCAATCCGTACTCATTACTGTTCCACCTTGGGAATTTTACCCCACTTCTCTGACACTCAGTGGGCACAGGGCCTAAGACATGAACAGAGGTTTTGAGTCCCAGCTATGCCTGTATAACTGAGCCCTGGTCTCCTGGTCTGTAAAATGGGGATGATGATAACAACACCAGCTTCCCAGTGAAAATTAACAAAATAAGCACTCAAAAATGTGAGCAATGTTAATTCTTAGCTTTTTTAACAATGATATATGTGATCATAATTTTATATTTTAAATTAAAATAAAAATTCTGAATATATATTCAATATATATATATATATATATATATATCTGAGATATATATATATCTCAGATTTTGCCTTGCTTCAAGAAGCCCGTGGCAACAGCAGAGTGGAATGAAACCAAACAGTGGTGAACAGTTCGCTTCTAACATGCCCCATGTGGGGAATGGACAGAACAGCCTAGACAATGGCCTCCAACACCCAGACTATCCCTCTCAAACATCCCATTCTCCTCTATGCTCCAAAAGCAACCAAGATTACTCAAAAAGTTTTTAATGTGTCTATTTCTCAGTGCTCTGTAGTTCAAATTCTAAGAAAAAGCAAACCTCTTATATCAGCATTAATTAAACTGCCAGCTAGTAACAGTCCCATTATTCAATCAAATAAGTGCAACTCCTATCTGTTCAACAGGAATCCCCGAGCCACACAAACCCAGGCTGGTGTCTGTGTAACTTTAAAGAACTGTTCAGAGCTTCTGGCGTCTTTCTTCTTCCCACCCACCTTACAATATCAAAAAGGTATTCTCTGTGAGTTAATGGGAGAAATAGCTTCTCTCAGCACTTTCCCCATCTGTCTTAATTTTTTTAATTATACTTTTATTAAACCCCTAAGGAAAATGGACTTGCAGAGTTCTCATTAAATAGGGACCGATGAAGTGCATAAAACAGAGAGATGAGTTTTTTTTAAGCTACCCTCACAATTTCCCTTAATGAATTCTCCTTCTGCTGCAATTATTACAGAGTGTGCAAAAAAATAAAGCACTTTTCGAGGGTTGGGTGGGCAGATAGATATTTAAGCAGCCAATAATAGTTCTTGCAGCCTCCAATTGGGATCTTTCTTCCTAGTAAATCAAAGTATTTGGTGCATTATGGCACAGTCTTTTCTCCCTGGAGACTGCCTTAATGCACCTACTAAATATGTACTTCCATGCATAGATTTTACTAGTAATTTTTAAAATAATTTTTAAAATTTTAATTATAGTTGACATATTGTACTATTATATTAGTTACAGGTGTACAACACAGTGTTAGACATTTATATAACTTACAAAGTGCTCACCTCAATAAATCTAGTATCCATCTGACACCATACACAGTTATCACTATAGGGAATATTATTGACTATATTCTCTATTACGTACTTTATATCTCCAAGACTATTTTGTAAATACCAATTTGTCTTCTTACTCTCTCCACCTTTTCAATGTATCCTCACAATCCCCCATCTGATAACTATCAAAATGTTCTCTGTGTCTATTAGTCTGTTTCTGTTCTGCTGTTTATTTTATTGTATAGATTCCACATATAAGTGAAATCATCTAGCATTTGTTTTTTTCTGTCTGACTTATTTCACTCAGTACTGTGTGTGTGGGAGCGGAGGTGCTCCACCTGCAGGGCCCCCCCCCCGCAGCAGCCACCACAGATGAGAATAAATCTACCAAGACATGATCTGCTTGGGGAGGAAAGGTGGCCAATCTCTCAAAGGAAAAGGGACAAGAGCCTTTTCCTCAATGGTCTTTTATTGGGTTCATTTGCACAGGAATACAGATAAAGCTCATTAATCATTGCCAGACAGTAAGGATCAAACAATAGATAACAAAGAACTCTGAGGGCCAATTGAGTCAGGGTCAGATAGTTAAAGAGCTGCAAAACTTTGAGGAACAAACTTTATTGTTTGGACCCTTATCGTTTAATTGAGAGCATTCTAAACAAAGCAGGTTTCACAGGATTTTACATATTCTTTCTTAGGCCTGATTGCCCGGGGAACCCGCCCTTGCCAGCACAGGGCTGCACCACCCTCTGTCATTGTTTCAGGTTTAGGTGGAGCAAGGGAAGTAAGGCAGCCAAGAGATTAGGAGATTTCTCCCAGACAATGAGGACTCAAGCTTTGTCAAAGCCAAGGGGTGAGAGCCCATCACCCCCTCTTTCTGTAGCCCCCAAAGTCCTTCCTTGGGGGCCTCCCAGGTGATTGTGCCTGTCTTAGGTCGTTCCCCCCCTTTGGGAATCTTACCCATCATTGGCTAACGGACCAAGCATTGGGGGCCAGGCAGGGTGAAGTATAAAGAGCAGAAGTGGTGCTCCTGCCAGGGAGATAAGCTTTTGTCTCCTTGGTGTCTTATGGTCCAAGGTCACTCCCTCAGCCTTAGCATTGGCAGGGGTTACAGCTTCTGAAACCAGGCAGAGCAGTTCCCAGCACAGTACAATACCCTCTAAGTCCATTCATATTGTTGCAGATGCCAAGATTTCATATCATTTTTATAGCTGAGACATATTGCATTGTATATATTAACCACCTCTTTATCCATTCATCTCTTGATATATACTGAGGTTGCTTTTATATCTTGGTTGTTGTAAATAATGTTGAAGTAAATATATGTTTGCACATGTCTTTTCTAATTAATACTCTGGGTTTCTTCAGATAAATACCAGAAGTGAAACTGCTGGGTACTTCTTTGTCTTTTGTTATAACCTTTGTTTTAAAGTCTGTTTTTTTCTGATGTAAGTATTGATACCACAGATTTTCTTCTTGCCATTTTCATGAAATATCTTTTCCCATATTTTTACTTTCACTCTGTGTGTGTATTTCAATCTAAAGTGAATCTCTTGTGGACAGCATATGTAGGGGTCTTATTTGTTACCCATGCAGTTACTGTATGTCTTTTGATTGCAGCATTTAAACCATTAGCATTTAAAATAATTGTTGATTCATATGTATTTATTGACATTTTATTATTCCTATTTTCGATTCTTTCTTCTTCTTAAAGATGACTCTAATATTTCTTCTACTATTGGTTTGGTGGTAATGAACTCATAGCTTCTTCTTGTCTTGGAAGCTTTATATCTACCCATCGATCCTAAATAATAACTTTGTTAGATAGAGTAATCTTGGTTGCAGATCCTTGCTTTTAATCACTTTGAATATTTCATGCCAGTCCCTCCTGACCTTCAAAGTTTCTGTTGAGCAATCAGCTGACAGTCTTATAAGAGCTCCCTTGTGGGTAACTAACTGCTTTTCTCTTGCTGCTTTTAAGATTCTCCTTGTCTTTACCCTTTGACATTTTAATTATGATGTGAGTTGGTGTGAGCCTCCTTGGGTTTAGTATTCTCTATACTTTCTAGGCTTGTGTGTCTATTTCTTTTATCCAGTCAGAGAAATTTTCTATCATTTTTTAAAATAGGTTTACAGAAGGGGTGGAGGGTGGTGTCCCAGCGGTTTAGGGTCTACGGCGGTGGTGGAGTCAGTAGCGTGATGGCTGCCTCTGTGTTCTGCTGCCTGCGGTGCTGCAGAGACAGCGGAACAGGACACATTCCTCTGAAGGAGATGCCAGCTGTGCAGTTGGACACACAGCACATGGGAACAGATGTTGTTATTGTAAAAAATGGAAGAAGAATATGTGGAACAGGAGGTTGTTTAGCCAGTGCACCTTTACATCAAAACAAAAGCTACTTTGAATTCAAAATCCAGTCCACAGGAATCTGGGGTGTTGGTGTCGCAACTCAGAAAAGTTAACTTAAATCAGATTCCTCTTGGCCAAGATGTACACAGCCTGGTGGTGAGAAATGATGGAGCTCTGTACTACAACAATGAGGAGAAAAACAGACTGCCAGCCAACAGCCTTCCACAGGAGGGAGACGTGGTGGGTGTTACATTTGACCATGTAGAATTAAATGTATATTTGAATGGAAAAAACATGCATTGTCCAGCATCAGGTATAAGAGGGACAGTGTATCCAGTTGTTTATGTTGATGACAGTGCAATTTTGGATTGCCAGTTCAGTGAATTTTATCATACTCCTCCACCTGGTTTTGAAAAAATACTATTTGAACAACAGATCTTCTGAATGTATTTGTTGTTGAAACTTATATTTCTGCACTTTTGAGTGTTTAACATTTAATAAAGCTTTACCTGGTTATAGATGAAATATATTCTTAAAAATATCCTTGTTAATGTTGTTTAAGGAAGCAATATATTCAGTGTACCACCCAGAAATTATGATATAAAATACTTATGTTTTATGGTATGAAATAAAAAAAATAGGTTTACAATTTTTTGTTCTCTCTCTTCTCCTTCCAGCACCCCCATGATGTGAATGTTCACATCTTTGAAGTTGTCCAAAACTCTCTAAACTATCCTCATTTTGGGAGGATATTTTTTTGCTGTTCTTATTGAAGTTTTCTGCTTCCTTACCATCCAAATTGTTCATTCCATGCTTTGCTTCATCTACTCTACTGTTGGTTCCCTGTAATGTATCCTTCATTTCAGTTACCATGTTCTGACTGGTTCTTTTTTATGTTTTATGTTTTTATGTTTTTTATCTCTATGTTGAAGTTCTCACTGAGATCATTGAGTATCCTTATAACCAGTGTTTTAAACTTTGGTAGATTGCTTGTCTCTATTTTGTTTAATTTTTTTCTACAGTTTTGTTCTGTGCTTTCACTTGGGACATGTTTCTTTGCTCATTTTCGCTGCATTTTGGTCCTTGTTTGTTCCTATGTATTACATAGAGCTGCGACATCTCCCCATCTTGGTAGAGTGGCCTTATGTAATAGGTGACCTTGTAGGGTCTAGTGATACAGCCTCCCTGGTCTCCCAAGCTGGGCACTCCACATGTGCCCCCTGCCCAATGTGTGTTGTACATACTTTCCTGTTGTCGTTGAGCCTTGATTACTGTTGGCACATCAGTGAGAAGGGTTGACCTTCAGATGGATCAGCTGTGAGGGTCAGCTGTGACCACAGCTGAGGAGCTGCTATGCAGGGGCTAACCCCACAAACCAGGACTTGCTTTATCAGGACTCTGGTGCCCAATGAGTCCATCCTTTAAGTGTGTCTCCCACAAAGGTAGTTGGGTGGTGGTCCAGTGTGGTATGAATATGGCCACTGGGTGCACTGCCTTTGGGGACTCCCAGGAGGTGTAGGCCAAGATCAACTGCTACCTGTGTCCTGCCTGAAGCCACCTGGCATGAGCTAAAAAGTGATCTTCAGATGACTGCTACTTGTGCTGGTCTTGGGTATTCCCAAGAGAGGCCAAGTTGCAAACTGAGGCCACCTACTGCTAGTGCCAGACCTGGGGCCACTTAGAAAGAAATATGGTGCATGCCAAGACCAGATGCTGGTTTTTTGGGATTTGTGAACTTTTGAGAGATATTAGAAAGTCTGAAGCATAATCCAAGACATGTTCTTTGTCTGGAAAAACCACTGGAAACAGCTTGTGTGGGTCAGGCAGTGTCCTAAGGAATCACCAGGGTGGGGCAAACATTGTTAGCCAGGCTGATAAAGACTCAGATATCATGCCCATCTGCCAGCTCTGTTGGGAAGGCTCAGTAAAAGAATAATGGTCTCTGCCAACACTTCTGGAAGGAAGTTTGCTTTTCTGCCCTCAACTCGAATCCAGACAATTCAGTTGTCCCTTGTATGTCCCTGTGCCTTTTGAGCTGCTGTCCCAGTGCTGGAGCTCAGAGCCAGTGAGTCTGAGTAAGTTCATGTGTGTGTCTGTTAAGGAAGACACCCAAGACTCCAGAAGCCCTCATACTCACACAGCCAAAATCCCCACTTGTTTTCACAGCCAGAAGTTATGGGGACTTTTCCTCCTAGCACTGAAACCCTAGGCTGGGCAGCCTGATGTGGGACTAAGACTCCTTGTTCCTCAGCAGGAACTTCTGCAGCCCCAACACTCCTCTCAATTTTTAACTGCCACACATGGGTATAGGACCAGCTCATTTCATGTATCCACCCCTCTTACAAGTCTGATCCTGGTTTCTTCTTTATATCCTTAGCTATAGGACTTTTTTTTCAGCTATATTTCAGGCAGTTCTCAATGATGGCTGTATGATGGTTGTTCTGTAATTTCACTGTAATTTTGATGTAGTAGTGGGAAGATGCAAGTATAGCATTTACATAGGTAAATCTATCTGAAAACCTTAATAAGTTTTTTAAGTCATTGAAATAGTATAAGCTTAAGTCCCCCAAAACATGATCTGACCCTTCTGGGAACTTGGACCAAAGTTCACCAAGCCAAGAGTTCTGCTAGATGAACCTGCACATATCCTACAATTCTGCAGGTGGTGATGTTTTACTTGTACTCCACCTGCCTTCCTAAGGAAGAAGTTTTAGGTGTGTGGCCAGAGATCCCTGGAGTGGAACCTCAGCAATATCATCTACTTGCTAACCTTCAATGAGCTCTTCTACTTCTCAGAGCCTCAGTTTCTTCATCTGTACAATGGGACAAGAACAGCATGCATAAAAGTTTACCAAAGGTTCAAATTAATGGGCTCAGTGAAGAGATGGATATTTAACAGAGGCAGTGTGTAGTTATTTAGCATTTGGCCTCTAGAAAAAGAACACTCAGGTTCAAAAAATAGCCCTGCCACTGATCAGCTAACTGATTTTACAAGTTTTCTAACATCTCCCAGCCTCAATTTTTTTGGCTGTGGTCACTCTGAAGATTACTGAGATGATGAATGGAAAGGAGTCACAAACCACCTGGGATAGAATAAAAATTCATAAATGGCAGGTATTATTTTGCAAACACAAGTGATGGCTTTGTTCTAAAGCATGTAGGGTAGATATTAGAGGGACGATATTAGGGCTGAATGATCAATCCCATCATCCTGGAGGTGAGTTATACCAACAGGCTACTCAGGGCTTAAACCCACAACCCCAGGTTTTGGAACAGACAGAGCCCTCCTACCCCCCATAAAGACCACCTAACACAGGCCACCAAACCTATTTCCTTCTGCAGATCTCTGGCAGCCTTGTACACCACTTCTCAATTCATTTCCAAGTCATTCCCCCTACTATCTCCCTGGGAGCTGATAGATAAGGACAAGCAACAACCTATAGGTTTGTGACAGAATGTTTACTACCAGCCCTCTACACAATGATTATTCTGAGGTAGTTTTGAACCTCCAGACTATGATGCAATGTCTCATATATTAAACTGCAGCAAATAGTGTATGACAGTCTTAGAAGGAGAACTTGTATTTCTCAGGTTACTGGAGAAGAAGCACATAGGGGAATATTGGTTTTGAAGGACATCAAGCATGGAGGAATCAAACTCTTGCACCCAGTTTTATAGAACAAACAGAGAACTAAGCTTTGAGTCTACATGGCCAAGGGCAATGGCCATTTTATACCTTGGACTGCCCTGGGGGAGACACTGTTATTCATACTACTGAAGCTCTAAGACCCACCCACAGCTGCCTCCAGAAATTGGATAAATTTTTTTCTTCTCTCACCATCATTAGAAAACTTTTTTACAAACCTCTCTTTCATATAAAAGTTTCCTACAGGTTAGACATGTATATCCATGGAACAAAATAGAGTCTAGTAATAAACTCACACATATATAATCACCTGACTTATTACAAAGATTCACTGAAAAGCACAGGGGAAAGGATTTGTTTTAAAACCCTAGTGCTCAGTCAATTGGATATCTGTGTGGAAAAAAAGTAATCTGGAATTTCATCTCAACCATACGCAAAAATCAATTCCAGATAGATTTTACAGCTAAGTATGAAAGATAAAACAATAAAACATTTAGGATGAATATAGGATAATGTCTTCATAACCTTGGAGTAGGCAAAGATTTGTGAAGTAGATTAAAAAGAGTGCTAACCTAAGGGAAATATTGATAAATTGGACTACAACTAAAATTATCGATAGTAATAAAAAGATGCCATGAAAGAAATGAAAGGCAACCAATATGAATCAGGATGGGAATAGATATTTGCAAATTCAAAAAGAACTAATTCAAAATATAAAACACTTTTACAGATTTATAAGAGGATAGACAATGCAAAAGAAAATGAGCAAAAGACATAAACCAGAAGTCCACAACAGACATTATCTACCTGGCCAATACATACATGAAAGGTCCTTAGAAATGAGAGAAATGCAAATTAAATCTACAGTGTAATATCTCTCACTGTTACCATAATAGGCTAAAATTAAAAAGACAACAAGTATTGGACCAATGGGAACTCTCATATATTATTGGTGGTGGTATAAATGGATATAAACACTTTATAAAATGGTTTCACAGTAACTGCTGAAGCCAACCATGTTCCATCACTTTTGACTCAATCAATTCTACTCAAAAACAAATACACAAACATTCCAGTTGTAGAGTACATGGAGGCAGTCTGGCTTCCTCACCCAGGTGTCTGGGTAGCTAAGGGAAGCAGTGTTCCCATAGCCTTGGAGGGGCCTGATAAGTAGTGTTCCCATAACCTTGAGATCGGGTCTGATAAACTGTTACCATAACATGAAGTGGGCTCGTGTGCACAGAATTATGTTATGTTATCTAATTTCTGTCATCTTGCCAGCTTCATACAGGTAAGGACTCCCTGCTGGGGGCAATGATGATGAAAGACACACAAGGAGACAGGGGCCATGATGGGTGCCATGCTGGGAAGCAAGGGCCATGACATGAGACATGCAGATTAACACACAGCTTGCAGCATGTGTGCCTCACCCACCAGTGAATAAAGGCATGTCAGACATCCCAACAGCTCCTGAATATTTTTCAGTCTGCACAAATACCATGAACCTGCCTGGCCTTGAAGGGTGGCAACACACCTGTCAAGATGGCAACATTGGCAGACATGGCTCACCTCTTTGCACAACCACATCAAGATTACAACTAAACTATAGAACAGTCATCACACAGGAATGTGAGAAATCGAGTTGAATGGAAGTCTGACAACTACATAATTAAAAAAACTACATCCATCCAGATTGGTAGGAAGGGCGTGGATACAACCTGGCTGGCCCCACTCCTATATGGATAAAGATTCAGGAGGGATATCTTGGGAGCCAGGAATCCCAGACCCATGATAGGCCCTCCAGCCCAGGATTCCAGTGGCAGGAAGATAAGTTCCC